ATTAGGGTTTAGGGTTTAGGGTTTAGGGTTTAGGGTTTAGGGTTTGTGTGTTGTGTAGGGTGCCTCACATGGATTTGTTTTCAACTTTATCTGAAGTAGAGTTAAGTGCGATTCGACAAAGATTAATAAACGCAATAATGTGGACAGACATGGCTAAACATTTCGACATGGTGGCCAAACTTGACGGTAAAATACAGGTGCATATACACCCCAAACTGCTGCTCCTGCTGATAGGGTGCTGCTGCTGCTGCTGATGCTGATAGGGTGCTGCTGCTGCTGGTGATAGGGTGCTGCTGTTGCTGATAGGGTGCTGCTCCTGATGCTGCTGCTGATAGGGTGCTGTTGCTGCTGTTGCTGATAGGGTGCTGCTGCTGATGCTGCTGATGTTGATGCTGCCGCTGATGCTGCTGCTGATGCTGCTGATGCTGCTGTTGCTACTGATGCTGATGCTACTGCTGCTGCTGCTGTTAGTGGTGCTGATGCTGTTATTGCTGCTGCTGCTGTTATTGCTGCGGCTGCTGTTAGTGCTGCTGCTGCTGTTATTGCTGCTGCTGCTTTTAGTGCTGCTCGTTGCAAACACTTCGATGTGGAAGCAGCAGAAGCAGCAGCAGCAGCAGCTGCTGCTGCTGCTGCTGCTGCTGTAGTTCTCACTTGTGCTGTTAGACCTCCTGCTGTGTGCGTTGCTCCTGCTGCTGCTGTTTCTGCTGCTACTGCTGCCTCTGCTTCTGCTTCTGCTGCTACTGCTGCCGCCTCTGCTGCTGCTGCTGCTGCTGCTGCTGCTGCTGCTGCAGGGAGAAATGGTTTTGTCTGAAGGGATAATGTGCACATTACAAAAACCCTATTTAGAGGGTTTGCTGCTGCACTCTGCGGACATTTCAAATCCTCTGCTAAACTTCGATATGTGCAGAGATTGGGCTATTAGGGCTTGCGATGAATTCTATAATCAGGCAAACCCTAAACCCTAAACCCTAAACCCTAAACAATCATTAACAGCCCTAAACCCCAGGACCTATCCTGAAGCGAGCCTAAAGCTCTAAACCCTAAACCCTAAACCCTAAATAACAGTAAACCGTTAGACCCACCGAGGACCAAACTCGAGGCGAAAACCCTAAACCCCAACCCGAAGCCCTTCAAGCCTAATCTCAAACCCTAAACCCTAAACCCTAAACCCTAAACCCTAATGGTTGTTCTTCAGAATAAACTCGAGGAATCACTCGGGCAGCCGCCCTTCAATCCGGCGCTGCAGAGCTTCGATGAATTTTGCGTAGCCAAATCCCAAATTGGCTTCATCGGTAAACCCTAAACCCTAAACCCTAAACCCTAAACCCTAAACTCCCCTTCTTGGTTTGTAAACCGTCAAACTCTAAACTCTAAACCCTAAACAAAAACTCTTCGGTGTGCAGACTTCATGCGCAACCCTATATAAGGAGCACCATGTTTCAAACCCTAAACCCTAAACCCTAAACCCTAAACCCTTTTTTAATTTGCAGACTTCATTTGCAAACCCTTATTCAACAACCTGGCGCTGATGTTCCCTGCCCAGCTTGGCGAGCGCGCAGCTCAAATGCGCAAAAACAGGTAAACCCTAAACCCTAAACCCTAAACCCTAAACCCTAAACCCTAAGCAACCCTGAACTCTATCTCCCAATCAAACCTATACCCTAAACCCTCTACACGCCGAAAGCCCGTGCCTTAGAGAACCTAAACCCTAAACCCTTAACAAAACCCTAAAACTTAAACTCTAATTTTTCTAATGCGCGATTCTCGAAACCCTAAACCCTAAAAATTAAACCCTGAACACTAAACCCTAAACACTACGTGTGTAAACCCTCTGCTGCCCTAATAGCACCAATGGCCTCTAAACCCTAAACCCTAAACCCTAAACCCTAAACCCTTGAGTCGTTTCGTGCTGCAGGCAACGGTGGAAACATCTTGCTGACCGCAACCTCCCTCCTATCCTGTGAGGAGCTATCGGATTTG